TTTTGTCTACTCAAGTAATTATGAACACCCCTGTTTCCAGTATAATTGTTTTGTGAAAGAAAGAATGTAATTTCACATGCATAACTATCAAATGAATTACAAATATATCTGTATCTTTGCATAAAACTGGGCTGGCTGCTTATGCTTCAAGGACATTAAAAAGACAATGAAACATATGGCTTAATACAATTAACAGTCTTGCATCCACAAACCTTGTTTTCCATGGATACTCAGCAGGCCTCACATCCGCAATGGTGATTCTTAACTATCATTTATCACCACAACTCATTTTAACTTAATCCTGAAGACACCACAGGATTCAATGAAGTTTGCAATCTCCAGGTTACTCTGAGCCACTTGAGGAATGGGCAAGAAAGTCACCTACCTCATATACACAGTTATATTGTCCACATTTAGTTTGTAGTTATCATCCATATGATTTCAAACTTTAGATACCAAATAGCTTTTAACTACTGTACAACGTACTTATTAGTGTACTTCATTGACAAATATTTTATCTGAATATCATAATACCTTTGTGATGAGGTTAAAATCGACAGAAGTCTTTATCTACATTATAAAGCAATAATGAAAGTAATGATGATGATAATAATAATAACAATAATAATAACAATGATAAAAAATAATATAATAATAATAATAATAATAATAATAACAATAATAATTATAATAATAATAATAATAAAATTAATAATGATAATGATAATAATATAATAATAATAATATCAATAACAATAACATCAACCCACATGTGACGGTACATTTTCAAGCCAAAAAATAATATTCTACGGGTGCCTTCAAAACCTGCGCGCAGGCAACAAAATCAGAGCACAAGCTCCAATCTAGTGTTGCACTGGCAGGACCCTCGGTAAGGTTTATTTTTCCGGGTGTCTCATGTGTGAAATCACCTGTTGTAAGTTGGCTAATAATAATAATAATAAATAATAAATAATAATAATAATAATAATAATAATAATAATAATAATAATATAATATAATAATAAAATAATTACAAAAATAATACAGTAACAATAATGCTACTAAGAACAATGACAATAAAAATGATTGATGATGATGATGATGAAAACAGTAAAACAACAGGTACAGAGTAAATGGTGGTAACAAAAAATATACAACATGAATAACATGAATAAGAACTCCTAACTCCTCCATTAATTAAAAAAGAAAGAAAGAAACATCTACCATATTCTGTCTTCAACTACCTTTATCTAACTTAAGCACCCACTATTTTTCCTAAAGCTACTTTTAATTTGCCAATATCTAATAAAATTATGCCTGGGCCATAGGCAACCCACCCATAAACTTTTGTCACAATTCATGGGTAACTTTTGCATGATCCCTCTCACAAACCAATTCACCAAGTGACCAGTGTGCCAATAAATATAAGCATGAAGGAAATTAAGTTCAGTCAAGACTTCAATCCATTTTCCATCTGTTTTGGGTCATTTCTTAGATTCATTACTCACCTATAAAATGTAAAGGTTGTCTATAGTAGCAATTAAATACAAGTTCTTCACTGCTAGCAGTAACTGTTACCGATAGCGCTGTCCCTTCCCAGAGACTAATTTGAAAAAAAATTGTTTTTCTCCTGGAAATCCAATGATTTCATCGAGTCTTAGCGTTCTTTCTTCTGCAAATGAATCATTGAAGAGATCGAGTACCATTTCTCGAACTTGATTTGATAGACCCGATAACTGGGGAGGGCATGATGTATATCAGGGAAATTACAGGGTAAACAGGCTTAAATAAGAAGAATGAAGAACAAAAATGTGTAAAACCATCACAAAAAAACGCTTAAAATTGGCCAATAAACCTTTGAAATTTCTAGATTGACATGCCAAAATTAAAAAACTCTACAGGAACCCAACCCACCTTTATATACAGGAATTAACATTTTCCAAACCCCCTAAAAGAAGTACTGACTAATAAACCAACCCAATCTAACATCTCAAGTTACCATGACTAGGATTGCCCTTCGGAGCTCCGACCCCAAAACCACCCACATGAAACATTCTCTTGTACGGCAAGACAGAGCTGCGTTCACACCGTAAAATATTAAACCAAATACCTCTATATCTGGAAACGTCAAACTTTCGTTTCCTTCTTTCTCCTGTCTGGCTTTATTTTGATTGTAATTGTTTTTTGGCATTTGGGGCACTTGAAGAGTTCAGGAATTAAACTGGGATGGCTACTAAAGTCTTTTTCTTCTTCGTTGTCACTGTATAATCTTAAGAATAACCCAGAATCAACACAACACTGGAAATACAACATTTCTTATAGGCATTCTGCCACTGAATGGCCAGTGAGCTGTCGAACTTCATGGCTGAAAGTGTGAAACACACAATGCGCCTATCATTCTAAATAAGTATATATATAAATCTTAAAATGCGTAAATGAAG